ATCACTACTGGGCTTTCAGTCTTTTCACATGTTTTCAGCAAGTATTTTCTAACACTGATAATGTGTTTAGAAACAAATCACAAATTTTGCTTTACCTTGATTAACTACAATTTTCACAGCAAGACTGATGAATAAATCAGGTCAAGCGTTGTGTAGTGTTGTGTAAATGTTTCTGCTGAATTGTGGTTTAGAAGCAGGTACTTCTTTATGATGTCAGCTACTGTATTCATTTACAGTTATACATATGACATTATATAACTTTGGTGAAAGAGGTTGTCTCCCCATGGATAGCCAGTATTTCATAAATCTTTTTACTGTTCCCAACTGTATCTACTGTACATCATGTAATTTCATCAGAGAGGCAGGTTGACACATAATATTTTCTAAACTATCTTTTACAATGACATTTAAACTTACATTATTTTTTCTGTTTTGCCACAAAGCAATTAGTAGAAAAAGAAAATCTCTGGTACATTTCTCTATTCAGGTGGTAGTATTGTGTCGCTGCTGTAGATTAAGATGGAGAACACATCTTATATGATTAACTGCCAGCATCCAAGACTCCAGTCTGTGCTATTTGACTCTTAAAAGGTTTACCCCCCCACCAGCCATGCTGCTGCTGCAAAGCACCATGGGTGTTCACAAACTCGCCCGCTGGTAACCCATTACCTAGACATACAGCACCAAGGTACGCAAATGTTGATGCACTCAGGTTGCAAAAACATCTCCAGGGCCACCACACAACCCTCCTCTCTCCCCTCTTCTCTGTTTTGGGTAATCTCTCCCTCTCTCCTTCCATTATCACATTGTCGCCACCAGGGAAATTTTCCTTTTCGTGCATTATTAGCAAAAGAGTTTTTCAGCGCGTAAGCTGGCGCTCTGTCATTGTCATGGCAGCGGCCCTGAAAAAGGTTTGTGTACGTGCTTAAGTATTATAGAAATTAACATCTCGCTTCCAGGTACAGTAATCAAGGGGATGACAGGAGCCAATTAATTAGGTCCATCTGTGTCACTGCCTTTACATAATTAATGGGGCTCATTACTGAACCACTATTATGATGTGGGATATGCTAGCACACTGACTAGCTTGGAGCATCATAGCACTAAAAGCAGTAGGAAAGAAAAGACTTTGTACATTTTTTATTTTATTTTGTGCAAGTTTGCCTCCAACTCATTAATATGCAGTCTGGGGCAGCAGTTTCCTATCAAAATCTGTCAACTTTTAATTGGCAAATTCTGCAGGTTTGGTTAGCCTCTGTGCTAAACCATCTTAAGCCTTGCACTGTAAGTGTAGGTTTCATTTGAAGTTTGCTCTTGAATAGTGACCTTGCCTTCAGCCTGTAGCTTTCAACCGTATGTTTCTGACTTTGGACTACAACAATAATCTGTTGTACTCATATGCCTGCTTTTTAACAGAAAGAAATACTATCAGTATAGTAGGCAAAGTGAATGTAAAGACATGTACTTCACTTGGATTGTATTTAAGGACCGATGCCAAGTGACAATCCAATCGAACACACTTCACCATAAAGAGGGAAATAAGAACATAACATTAATAAAAACGATAACAGGTCCAATCTGCAAACCATCTCACTGGTGGTTAGGGCAAGAACTGAACAACAGTACACCGAGGATATAAAAGCAGTGACATCTGCTACATACTGTATGTTAATAGCAGTGAAGAGGTAATTCTTAATGAATTTCAATTATTAAAAATGTCATAACTGGCAAATATTATCTACAACATTTGGTGCTAATGGTCATTGACAAAAACTCATTCTTTTTCCTTCCTTCCTTAGATTAAATTGAAGAGCACACTGGCAGATGGGTCTTTGAATCATTTCAGCCTCATCTTTGCTTAGGCCATAAGCTCTAATGCTGACATCATAACTTGACAGTGTTATTTAAACCATGAAGTGACTCAAATTATCATGTGGCTTGGAGGAATCTATAATATAAAGTTAACTGGTGACAAAGTAAACATTAGATTTTTTGTGACCCTCTTGAGAAAAATACAAGTTTGATAATAACTAACCATTTGCAGGTTAATTATTGAATGCTGATTTTTTTATTTATTTATATTGTTTTATTGTTTCAGTGCTGGAGGGAGACACAGTGTCACACAGATTTTACTGATTTCTAAGTTACAGCACAGCGCACCCAGAAAACCTGTTTTATTCTAATTGATTCAATTCCTCTCTCATTTTGCTTTACTTTGCTTTCTGATGCATACTGTATGGTACTGAGAGAAGCTTCAGATGGTCTACACACTGCTACTTAAAAACCTTTTTTTAATGGGAGGACAGTCTTTTAATAACCTACCTCAAATACTACATTAACCTTAAAAGACTTTCATTTATGCTTCTCTTAAAAGTGCACTGTTCAATAACTCTTTAAAATTCACTCAATATCAGATTGCTCTTGCTCATGTGAGTGCTATGTTGCTGTGTTTTCCTTCTCCTCATATCTCCTTTCTCTCACTCAGCTAATGAAGGCCTTGTGGCCCACAGTTATTAAAATTATGCCCTTGCCTCAGATATTAATTGGGTCCATAATAAGGAATGCATCAGATTCATTATTTAATTGCAAGGGCACATTTGGAATACAGTTTCTGAAATGTATTTTTAATGAAAAACACTACATCCTGACCTAATCATATCAACCTTAGTCTATCTAATTAAGAATGGGGGGGAAAAAAATCATTAGAGTTGCAAAATATTAGTTTCAGCTTTGTTGGGCTGCTCCTTAGCTTGCCCTCGTGAATATGTTTTTTCCTGTCTATGATAAATAGTTAATGAGGGAAAAATTACAAAAATTTGCATGTAGGCAAATTAGTATAATAGAGGCATGTCTTTGCTGAGTATAGGAAAGTGACCCTTTTCACAGGAGAAATTGTTACAATAATTATAACATAATGACAAGGCCCATCTTATTTTGATGAAAAATGGCCTTCTTGAATAATGTAAAAAAATGCAATAACTGTAAATTTTCATTATGCTGGAGAATGTGTTAATATGTTAGCATTTTATCAGTTCAATAACACCAAATTAAAGACAATATGAATTGTGCTGTAATTGCTGCTGTGGAGGGAGGTATTCAGTAATGCAAGGATGATTTAGCAGTGCCACCACAGCAGTAAGACATCAGCAACTAAACAAAGCACTTTCTTAATCACAGACTTTTGGACTGAGAGGTTCAGTTTTGTCCCAATAAACGAGCCCATCACGATCCCATTTGTTGTAATGTAGTCACCTCCAAGAGCTAGGGATGCAGTTCATTTGAGTTTACCAGAAAGGTGTGTGTGTGTGTGTAGGACAGTGGGGAAAACAGCAGTATAACACCTTATGATATGAGTTACACATTGCAATTGTCTGATCTTTTGAGTTTAAAATTAATTGTAAAAGTTTCAACTTTTAAATATGCCATTTTCAAGTGCTAACAGTGTAAATAATATTCATCCAAGCATTAATAGCTTTACAAAATGTGCTTTTGTTTTGGTTAAAACTATTTTCACTCCCCTGTAAGACAAAATGGTGACTCAGTTCCTGATCTTGACTAAGCAAAAAGCAAGAGTTGATGAACATGGAAAACACCAAACAATGTGTGCCACTAACAGGTCCTACAGAATAAATTAAAGGGGGGTTCAGTTTGATCACTGCATTTTCTCTTATCTCAACAAGTCACATTTTTAGTCACTATATGGAGAAATTTTACATGTAATCTAGGCATAGTACAATACAGTGCTTTTCTGTGTCATCACCACCAACCTATGATGGGCTGTCAAACATGCAACAGCCTCATACAAGCAATTGTAATTTCATGGGGACATGCATTTATGCAGACTTGCATTCTCTGACAACAAGTGACACTGTATTAATAGCATGTCCAGTATAGCATGTGCACATGATCCCACTTTGTGATTGAGCAATCTTTCTCTAATGAAATATCTTTGGAAATTGGTTTCCACAGACTAATCAGGCCTACTAGCTCAGTTTCTGTTTTGGTAATTATCTTGTACTAATTAGAATGAAGCTAAAGACCTCTGAGATGAATTCTCAGCTTTCTGAAATGTAACTAAAGAAAATTTTATCTATACATCCAAGAGATAAATTGACGACCCTTGTCCAATGAGGGTGGGGAGGTTGGGGCTTCACAGCCTACACTGTCAAAGAGTTTTCATCCACATGCAGTCGATGTGTTTTGTCCAGAGTAATAGCATAGCAGAGACAGTAGCACAGTTTCTAAAGAGATACTGATTTTGAATATTCTATGCATCTTTTTTCTTGATGCTTAAAGCTGCTGTGTTTCACTGCTAATCTGTGTCCAGCAGCTGACCTGTTTGCCGTGCTGAAAAACATTTAGGTACAGTAAGATCACAACATCACAGCAGATTTAGTATGCTTAAAAATGCACACAGGACCTCTGTCAATGTGGATACATGTATCCTGTTGCCTTTTGATGGCCACAACAAATTAATGAAGCCAAAGAAAATGAGCTACATTTTACTTTTATTTGGTCAGAGTGAGGCAGTGTCCAAAAGTGAATACTGCAAGCCAGAAGTGTGAGAGTTGCCAGCACTGTGATACTGAAGTACGTCCACAAAACCCTGTTCCAGAACTCAGCCCTGATGGGCTATCGCCAATCTAACCCTTGCATACATCTTCTCTACCATAACATCTTTATTATAGAGACCAAACTGAATGTGGTCACAATGTGCCCATTGCTGCCATTAGATGTTCCCTTCAGTAACATGCTCATTCCAACACAGGCAGTCTTTCCTTCAGTTTGGCAACCCTGGCAGAAACCTCCCTGGGTTACAAACAACCAGTTTTAATCCCTCCATTTTAGACAGACCAGTCTAACAGATTGGTCTTGCTGAACTTTTAGCTCATTCTGTCCTTAAGAAAATAGCCATTAGTCTAATTAATCACCATAGATTTGGAGACAAGAACACTAATGAGAGAAAACGAAGAGACACAGGAGTGTAGTGATGTGCTTACCTTGCGCCTCTCCCCATTGAAGCCTCTCCACTGCTCAGCCTTCTTAACAATATAGCTCAGTTCCTGATTGGACAGCTCTAGATCTTCAGGCAGGAAGTACATCCCCTCCTTGGCTGTCAGCCGCTGAAAGACATCCAGCATGCGACCCTCATTGTGGAATCTGGAATGTCAGAGGTGAGAAAAGAAGTAGCACCATACTGAATCACTGTCCCTGCACAAGGTCAAATGCCAAAGCAAGGAAAACATGGTGATTATTGCTAATAACTAGGTCTTAGGCTACCACTATGCCAAACAGAAATACACTGTCTTTTTTTCTGTCACATTGGCTGACTTTTATGAAACAGGTCAAATGAGAATAATCCCAACTTACTGGAGTGATTTATGAAACTTGTATTGATTACACAATATGTATTTGAAGTATAGCACTGTATACAAATCTAATACATCAATTCAAACACAATGAAAGAGCAGAGAGAAATCAAACAAATTTGTCTGTGAGTGGGAAGCACTTTGTTAACACAAGCTAAATGTAGTCGTGTCTGTGTTTGGTTGTGTGTTTGTAAGACTGTACATCTGTTAATGTGTGGGAGTCAGACCCTGGGATGTTCTTCACTGTTAATGCTGAACTTCAAAGATGGCAGATGCAATAGACGTGCTGGTTGCAGATGTGTCTGGAGAGACCAGCTTGAGTCACAAGAAAATGCTCGGCACAGCAGAAGGCATATTGATTCATACTTCCAGATGAGTGCACATCACTAAAGTGTTATTTTATTTATTTATTTTACCACGCAATGGTGCATGCAGCCAACCCCCAAAAAGAATCCCCATGTCTGTAAACAATTGCCTTGGCTGACCATCAAAACTAACAGACCTTGTGCCCTTCCATAGAGATTCTAGCCTGTCAGAGGGTAATCAACTCTCAAATAAAACCAACATCAAGAAGATGGGAGTTTATACAAGAAGCTGGTACAGAGCTTTGAACTCAGCATCCTTCCCCATCGCTCTTGGGAGAGGGATGTTTGTAGAATGTTGACCTCAGACACAGGAATAGCATGCATTCATTTTCATCTTACACTTGAATTGTGCTTCTCATTCATTTATGCGGCCTCTCTCTTGCAGGAATTCACCATCTTTGCATCTTTGTGCTTCAAAACAGACTCACTTCCTTTGAGGTGGATGTGCCCTGAATGCAAGTATGTAATTCTTATATGGTGGGTATGACCTGGATGATAACACTCGTATCATTTTCTTTTCAGTATAGGGGTCACTTTACAGATGTGCATTAGCTAATGGAAGACACTAGAAAGCATATTATATTGTGCCTTTATCTGTATTTGCCCATGCTCTTTCTGTCTTATTAGCATAAGTTAATGGAACATTTCTAACTATTGTAAGCTTTAATAACTATGTAATATTTTCTGTTTTTTTTACTTAAAACTGAATCAGTGAATAGGCTATACTATATATCACTCCTACAGTGTCAAGCTCAGTCAGTAATACATAATTAAATGTGACAAGGAATGGGAGAGCATTCATATGGAAGGTCAGTATATGAGTTAAATGATGTTTATCCATTATTTGGTGCCAAAAAGGGGGGTGTCAGACCATGCCATCATAAATCTTCAGAGCCCCACAATAAGCAACACTATTTTCCCAGACCTAACCTGCCCTTAACACAAAGCACCCCTGAACCTTATCCTCACCCAAGCAAAGACCACAAATGTTGCTTGATACACAGCATCTGCATTGTATTTGCTCAGGTTAAGCAGTGGCTGGCCCAGCTGGCTTGTAATGGCAGTCCACTCTGAAAGCCGGGTCCACTCAGTTGTCCAAACACTAACACTGTTCTACCAGTGAGTCAATAAATATACTGCTCAAAAAAATAAAGGGAACACAACATAGTTGAATGTCTTATTTTTGTGTTCCCTTTATTTTTTTGAGCAGTGTATATTATCACCAACACAAGTTCTGTGTGGGTGTAGGAGTGAAGGTAAATCTACAGGCTCATCAGGTAGGAACCCTGTCAATAACTGGTGTTTCAATGAGCGGGGCCCATGACACTGAGAAGGCTCAACAGTGTGCTCCAGTGTCCCAGAACCACCCCCTCTTTGCATGCATCCACACACCAAACATAACCCTTCATCTACTCAGGCTAATTCAGGCTAACTGTTACCAAAGAATCACTAGCTCTAGCAAACATTTCAACTGCTGCTCTAGCCACCAAACCTTTAAAATAACTAACCAAACATTTCAGATAGCTCACGAAATAACTTACAAAACCCCTGCTTTCATTTGTGCTGCATCAGAATCCACCCTGTGTTGTTATTCACTCCAACAAACCAATCAAACTTCTAATATGTCCTCATGTTAACTTGCACATGCTAACAACAGGAAGTAGGCCTCAAGCCTGCTGTATGTATCAAACATTTTTGCTAAGTCTGCCCTCCTGTGCTAGTTTACTTCATCTTAGCAGGCATAATCCACACATATGTTGCAGTTTACAATTCAAAGCACTTACCTACTTTTACCCCATTCACACACCTTTCTTCTGCTCCACAGCCACTCACTAGACCTTGCTGCACTATTAGCTAATTTCCTGATTGCTTGTCTTAGGTTCCACCCTTATACAACCTAACTCATCTAGCAGAAAGACAGTTGACTTGGCTACACATTTCCTACAACCAACCTCCACTGGGTGGACATTAACTTTCCAACCATGCTCCCCGGCCTCCATGGCTAATTCTATATATTACAGTTTATTACTCTCATAAGCTGTAACTACAACATCCTCCCAAGGAACTGTAAGCTCAACACAATACATTATCCAGTGTGTTTCTGACCATAATATAAGGTCTAGTTTTAGGTTAGTGCTGACTATTTTCTCAAGAACTATGAGCTGATTCCCTAAATCTACTTTCATTTGCCAGTGCCTCCCTGCCTTTAGCTGGCCTACATCCTGCCTGTTCAAAATGACCAGTTTCCTGCATTTTCCACCCTCATTAACAAACAAGACCCCCTGTTGTTTCTTCTTCTCCTCCAAATGAAAAGCTATACCCACCCAGTCTTATACTGTACATGTGAATTTCAAAAAATACAATAACCAATCACTGTGATTTTCCTGTCCTGAGGTGTCATGAGGAGGTCTTGAAACTCAGTGTCCCTGTACATCTAAATCAGTCACTGCAACAGTGACATATGCTAACTTGTATACTGGACACCCTCTCACACAGACGCTCACACGAGCACACAATGTAACAGAGTTAAGGGAATGCACAATGTTATTGAGCCCTGTAATCACTGGGATGTAAACTGCACCACCATCAATGTGACATCACTTTTTTTTGTATGCAACCAGTGAATAAAGGCTACCTAAAATGTAATTAAAAAAAAGATAAGAGTCCATTCTATCTATACATATAGCCCAAGGCATTTTTAGAAATAGGTCACAGTGTGTCAGAGCCCCTTCCTTGCAACCAATAGGAAACTGTAACCCATAAAATTATCAGTCTCGCTTCAGCCTCATGGCCTATATTCACTACAAACCCATGTGGCGGTTGAGTGGCAGAAGTCATTATTCCTGGCTGCTGTTTTAATATTGTCCATTTAGTTGGAGCCTGATAAGCGTCCTCTTACTGAAATTAGATGGCAACTCTCCTCTGTTGCCAATTTAAAACTGATTAATTCAAAAAGGGTTTTCTTACATTTTGAGCCATTAATGGAATTTGGTCTTTTACGATGCTGGGAGAACATACCTTGGATGAATTCTGATTTACATTATTTAGTAATGTATCACCTACTCTTTTACTTTTTACTTCCCTGATGGACTAAATGATGCCTTTCTGTTTTTTTTAAGTGCAATAGCTCATATATTAAGCTAGAAATATAAAATGAATGATTTAGCAGTACTTATGTAAGTCTACCCAGTGTCATTCTGCTGCAGTGCTTTTAAACTGAGAAAAGAGGCACTTCAACAGTTAGAGACCAACAATAATTGTAAGAGATTTACCCTTTTTGATGTTTTGTGTGTCCTGTTTTGTCTCTAACAGTTATACAGAGGACATGAAGGCTTAGTAGAAATGGTAAAAGGATTAGTAGGAAAATGTGCTAAAATTGTATGAGTGCTAAAATCACAATGCAAGCCTAGCAGTAAATGCTTCAGAATGGCTGACCTCAATCTGCAAGACATGAGTGGAACACACAGTGCATTAAGATAGAGTATGTGAATTCACCACCATGAATACACAGTCCATTTCAGTATGTATGAAACCTGCAGTGATACCAGCCATGCAAAACATTCAGCCTAATCGGATAATGTAAGGGGGTTACATGTTTGCACTATATCAAGACACATCTAACTTTTGAATTAGAAACGCTTTCAATTTTCCACCCAATTGCAGAGTATGGTACTGTATGTTCAAAAAGGCAGCTGTCTGATGTTGCTTTTTTGTCTGATAATTCAGTGTGTGTAGATGAGTGAGGTTGATGCATAACTGCATAAGTAATCCCATATGACTATACAATCAAAACGAATTAGATCAACAATTATTTTCATAGTTGTTTTTTGTGCTTTGCTGTGGACAGAGAAAAAAAACGGATGGGATGGAAGAGGCATAAGACTGTGAGGGTGGAAGACTCAGAGTTACTTCAGGTGCTTGTGAATAGTAGGTGAGGCCCAGATTGTTTAGGAATGGGTCTTCCTCTTCATTGGCAGGCTGCCCCTACAGACTGTGTTGAAAAACCCAAATTCTCAAATATTACAGCTTCAGCAATGCAGTGATGCATTTCAGCCACCAAGGAGGCCAGACACAGAGCTCAAAGTCAGATATTAAAGAGTAAAAAAAAGAAACTGAATCCACTTATAAAACCAGAACCAAGTGTATCTATGGGAACATGGATGCATGCCCATCAGTTTTACCTGAGTCATGAGTTTAAATGAGTGCATTTTATTTTGCACCACAAGAGTGAATGTTGAATGTTACCTTTTAGTAACCAATCACAAAGACAGGAAACTAACTCATCTTGGTTTTCAAAATAATGTTCTTAGATGTTTCATTTGAGCAGCACGTTTAAGGGTATAAATAGCAAACTGACAAATGTGTAACAAATTCACTGTTAAAAATACGTTGACCGTAATACACCTTAGTAACTTGATTTTCTTGTTAGCTGCCAATCAAGGACTAAATTGTTTGACTACTAAGGTATTTTAATTTTCATAATGTTGTGTACTGATAAGTTTGTTAAGACTTTTAAGGTGGCACCTGACTCATGTAAGTGGCTTATTCTGTTCATTGTGATTGGACAGTAAGGTGAAACAAGCAGACATTACTGTATATCTAGCCTGTTGGCCAGAACTATAAGAATAATAGTCATTATTTTGCGGTGTGTTTCACCTGAGCAGGTAAATGGAGAGGATGGTGATGGAGAGCAGGAATAGGACAGCATAAAGGAAGAGAGTGATGATCACCCCTGCTGCACCTGACTGGTCAACTTGATAGAAGTGCCAATAAAGCTTGGCTGCGTCACCCACTGGTGTGTCTGGGCTGTAGGTGAGATGCTGAGGACACAGAGAATGAAAAAAACAAACAAATTTGTATATTCTGTATAACTGTTAGCTGTATAAGATTGAACATTTGCAATATGGGAAAGGTATCATGTGATAAAAAGATCGCATGATGAACACAGTTCAACTGTTGTTCCTTTCACTCTACATCTTACATCACAAAATCACAGATACATCAGAAGTTTACATTTGTTTGTCAGTAATTATTACAAAGTATCACTGGTCAAGCACAATTGTTGCATTGCCTTTTAACTAGATTTTGATTTAGATATTTCTTCTTGCATGATTTCCAATCGTAAAAAGTCCAAATTATTTCTTCCTCACTGACAAAATCGAACTCACTGGCAAAAAAAAGACACTGATTTAACCTTCTCTTTTTCCTTCTCATCTTTTCCCATCCCCCTTTTTTGTATTCTAAAGTCACTTTGCCAAGATAAAGTGAACTATTTAAAGTGTGCAAGTTATTTTTAAGTGACTTACCCCGAGGATGGCGTCCACTGCAAAGACTGCCAGAGGGTCGAGGACTGTCCACACTCCCTGAGCCATGATAAACTTTGACATGAAGGAAGGGAGTGAGCCAAATATCTGTTGACAGCCCCATCTGATCAGAACTAGCAGGAACGTTACGACGTTCAAGGTCATGGGACCCACCACCACCATGGCCAGCTCCTCCCGAGTGTGGAGCAAAGAACTCTGGTATATGAGGTCCACTGTGTGTGCATGGAACTGGAATCTGGCAGGACAGGAAACAGAAACATGTGATGTGCATGTGTGTACATGGTGTGTGCACTGTTCATGTGTCAGTATGAGAGTAATGTATGCTTCAGAGCTTAAGGGCAGGTAGTTTATTTTATGTATTGTTTATGGTTGATTCAATCTGTTTAATTAGTTTGATGACAGTTAATATTATAATTGGTTCTTTTATGAGTCTGCACTGTCTTATTTGTGTTTTAAAGACAAATTACATTGACTTGATTATCTATAGACACAGAGGTCTAGAGAATTCAGACCCCTTCACTTTGTTGTGCTGTAGATTTACAGTAACTTTGAATTGATACAGCTGCAGTTTTTGTCCTCCAATCCACATTCAATATTCTATAGTGACAAAGTGAAAAGTGAAATCATCAGGCTGAAAAGTGAACCGTTGCCCCAGTCTCAGGTCACTGCACACTGGAGCAGATTTTCTTGAAGAACATCTCTGTATTTGGCTCCATTCATCCTTCCCTCAGTTCTGAACAGTGTACCCTGCTGCTCAAAAGCACCCCCAGAGCATGAGGCTGCCACCATCATGCTTTACCTTAGGGACGGTATTAGCAGGTGATGAGCAGTGCCTGGCGTTCACCAGAGTTCTTGGAGTTCTGCCTAAAGAGTTCAGTTTTTGTCTCATTAGACCAGAGATGTTTTTCCATAATGACCTCAGAGTCCCTAAAATGCTGTTTGACAAGCTGTATCCATCCATTCATTCATTATCTATATTGTTTATTCAACAGTGAGCAAGAGGCAGAATACAGGCAAGGCATACATTTCTGGCACAACTTCACCCACTGCCAATCTCCATAGATGAGGAAAGGTAAACTGAGAAGGCCAAAAATCCGACAACTTGTGCAGTATTGAACAACTTTTTTGCAAGACCAACAAGTTTTGGCTTGAGGCTTCTGTTTGAGGTAGGATAAAACCTGAACAAATCACCAGTCAATCACAGGGCTGACACAAAGAGACAGACTATTCACACTCACGTACCCACAAATGAGTAATTTAAGGTCACCAGAGTCTTTGGACTGTGAGAGGAAGCTACAGTAGCCAGAGAAAACCCAAACAGCCTGTTTTAGCCTTTTACTCAGGTTTTCAGTCCTTTCAGCAAGCTTTCATCTATGCAGAGGACTTCTGAAGCTCTGGTAGAGTGACCACACCCCTGACCAAGGGACTTCTTCCTTGATAAATCATTTTGGGTGGTCAGTCAACACAAGGAACACTGGCCTTGCTGGTTCCAAATGTCTTCCATTTCATAACTATTGAGACCACTGTGCTCCTGGGAACACACACAGCTTTGGAAATGGCTTTATGCTCTTATCCTGATCTATGCTTTGCTACAGTTTTATTAAAAGGTCTACAAAGAGTTCTTTCAGCTTCATGGTTTGGTTTATGTCCTGACATGCAGTGTGAATTGTGGGATCTTGTGTACACAGGTGTGTGCCTTTCTAAGCTATGTCCAGTCAGTTTAGTTTGTCACAGGTGGACTTTAATCAAGTTCTTGACACAACTCAATAATAATTAAAACAAACAGGATGCATCTGAGTACAATTTAGAATGCCACAAGAAGGAATCTGAATACTGTTGTCAATGAGACATTTCAGTTTTTGATTTTTATCAAACTGTCTTTATTTTGGTCTCTATACTTTTTGAAGCTACAGTATATTAAATAAACTACAAAAAACAATACAATCAGATGGTAGAAGTAACAGTATTCATGCTTTTACATGACAGAGCTTTCCCAAACCCCTCTCCATTTACCACAAGCCTCATGAGTTTCTTAATCTTCCCATCAGTCAGGAACAGGTAGAGCCAGTACTGGGAGAGGAGAGGACCAGATTTTGCTCATTAATTTCCATCTGATTTGCTCCAAGAGTCAAGCTTCTCCCAGATTCTGTCCATTAATCTGACAGTGGAGGTTCATTGGTGTTTTATCTGAGGCAAATCTCCTAACACACAGATTCAATCCTCTACAAGTCCTGCTAGAGCACGAAAGATTACCTCACTAGATGAATGGCATGGGAGAAGATAGCATTGTTTCTTATTTTTTTATAACTTTTAGACTCCGAAATTCTGACTTGGTACAAGATGAGGAGAAAAGTAGATGACCAAACTATCAATCAAACCTGTTAATCAAGACCTGTCCAGAAGACATCAAAGTTTTCTATAAGCCCTAAAATTGTATTAATGGTAGCATTTCTAGAAAGAAGTAAATTATTTTTGAATGTGAGCCAGTTGGAGCCAGGATTTCCTGGAGCCAGCATCTAGCATCCATCTGGGGCACTAGATTTTAAAATACTTCCACATTGGCTTTAGTCTCCAGCAGTGGTAGTTGCATTTTCTCAAGTATTGTGCTCAAGCACACCTTTGAGGTAGGCTGCTTGTTTTTGTTTGTTTGTTAGTTTTAAATTGATGGTTCCAGTCCATGCTACATCATACTTCTAATCCAGTACTTTGTAGTTACCAGTTATTCAGCTGATTATATTTTAAAAATTAATATTGAGCATTTAAAATACAAAGGCAGTACCTTAGTACCTTAGTCATATTGACCCAGTTCTAAAAATTCTTCATGTACATTACATCAGTAATAACAGTCCAATATATAAAATATTGTATATTACTGACATGTGCAGTTGTGCTTTATGAGTGTTTATTTTTACTTTAAGTGGATTTTATAAAGTAGGTACAATGACCTTACATAAGTGAAATTTTGACCATTAATCTTAGACAGTACTTTTACTTGTGTTCATGTATTACAAAATCAAAGATGAACTAAAAGGGGAAGAGAGCTCACAGATGTGTCTGATGTCTGATGGTAGATTTGGGGGGATGGATTCAAAGAGAGACAGAGAGAAGGAAAAACGAGTGTGAAACAGAAATAAGACAAAAGGGATGCTAGTCATCACACTAGCCACTGACTGTCACTTGGTCTCACTCTCACAGGGAACCACCAGCTCTCGCTGTTGCATGGAGAGAGAGATGCTTGGAGGGGAGAGCAGCAGATTCAGGCATGTGGAAATTATCATCCAACATTGATGCCCTCTGTTTTTCCAGTTTTCTTTTTTCACCTCCAATTCATCCTTTCAGTCCATCCTTTTTTTTTTACACTCAGCCACTGCCTTCTTATATGACTACCTATAATTTAATGCATGATGTTTGCACTTCCTTGTCACTGTAATAAAAACTTGCCTGTATGCATGTTTTCAGCCAGCTCTTTTTATTGTGATGAACTAAATCAGCAACATATGCCACTGTGATGTGATTTAACACTTCTCTGGTATCTTATTGCTGTTTATTATCAATGCACCAAATAATAACAATAAATTCCTTCCAAATAATGCAGCCTTTTGGGACTAAAGGTTGTGTGGTGAAATCAACAAACTCCCCCAGCAATAGTTTAGTATTGGGAGAATCTTGTTAAAATGTTAAGGGAGGAATTCTAACCAGATGATTTTGACGTATTCAGCATTCATATTTGCCGACACTCACATCAAGACACACTACGGATCATCATTCTCTCCACTGCTCTTTAATGCCTACACATCCCATTTCACCCCAACTGTACTTCTGCAGTTTACCTATATGCTCCAGTAATCTTTGTATGTATCTGTCCTCATGGAAAGGGATTTATATCAGCAGAAATGTGTGTGCTCAGAAAGCATCTATCTAGTTCTGCTCTGTGTGTGTGTGTGTGTGTGTGTGTGTGAAGGGCAGTATCAAAGGAAGCAAACTCACTTGTTGACAGGAACTGCTATGGCCTGGAGGTAGAGCCACTGGCTGCAGTAATGCAGGTAGAGCCTCACAAACCACATCAAAGCCAGCAGCAGTATAATGAGGCCAAGCTGCCGAACGAAGCCGCACCAGCTAGTACGTGGCTGTTGTTGTTGCCATGACAATGACAGGCCCAGCTCGGAAGGCAGCATGTGGAGGGCCAGGCGCGCTCGGTCAGACAGGTGTGAGTGGCAGGAACCAAGTCCAGTCAGTGCTGGTCTGTTTTTGGACAGATTAGTACATTACAATTTGAAGCTTTTTCTTTTTCTATGCTTAAAAAAGTTATTCAAATAATAATAATAATAATGCAATAATATACATGTAATTAGCAAGAATCAATGTTTTCTCTTTCCTTTTATGATTTTTATAACCATATTCACCTAGATGGCTTGGACTCACAGGAATGCTGTGCTGACATTAAGTACACCTCACAAGTTGTTACACAAAGTCTAATGACTAACACTTTTGGATTTACAGTTCAAGCACCTTCTTTTCTTTTCATTACACAGTTTTCAAATGCATTTTTGCCACCATCAGATATAGCACACATTAAAGGCAGGGAAATGCTGTATTCAGATTGACACACATTCACACATGTACACAGATGTACTCACATGCACACATGCACACACAAACAGATAGGAATCCCTTCCAGCAGTGCTCAGCTTCCCTCAGCACCTCTGCCTCCTCTGTGCCGCCCTTTGTCAGGCCTGCTCAGCTATTCCCTTTCATATAGAGGGCACAGATGGAGCAGTAGAGGCGAGAGGAGGAAAGAAAGGGAAAGGAAAAATCAAAATATGTTAGAATGGGCATGTAATAGCCTACAATAAAGCACATCCAATACTGTACAGTGTGTATCAATATGTGAAGAAAATTAGTGCTCAGATCCAGTTCAGTTGCATAGACCTGAATGTACATGCATGCTAGTTTGCACATGTAAACACAAGCAGACACTAATGACTCCTGTGCTCTGACTGACAGTACATGCAATTAGACCAAATCTAATGTAGGTGTACAGTATATAGCAGAGCTATGGCTAGCCTCAGAATGTGACTCAAGGCCTTTCTCTGTGGACATCCCTCTGTCTCACCACTTTGTCCAAGAGCACAGATGGAATTCACTTTGTAGTGTATATCTAGGGAAAATGGTACCGTACATTGCCTAAAGATAAAAAATGATAAAGAAAAAAAGAATCAATTGTATTGTTTTCTGTTCCTCTCGCCAGATAATTAGACTAGAGTTACAGGAAAATGCAGCATTGCATTTTCTTTCTTTCCTGTTTGTATTGCTAGCTGCATTAAAAAAAATGTCTTTGCTGTTTCTGCATACCATGGGCTCACTCTGAAATGTTAATATTACTTGAAGTTATCAGTTTCCTTGGTGGATGCACACACAGAGGGAAGGGTAGAGTAACAGGATAACAATCTGTCATAACCATCTGTAACTGATCAGTTCTATGTTTGAGTTTTTTCCAGCACATTTTCCCAGTGTTCCACTGCATACCTAAATTGCATATTTCCTGTGTGAAGTCAGTGAGATGTACATACAGGATAATGTATGAAGTAGGGATGTACAATAAGAAGAATGTCATTGCATCTATTACTTTTCATTACATGTCAATACAATCACCTGAAGACACTGCTTACTGTTGTTTATCATACACTACTGTTAATGTTTTATTAAAATAGCAGCATGTGGTAGAAGAACAAGCTGTCAGATTTTTGTGATGGGGTGCCACAGCCTCCATATTAATCAGTGACACTGGGGATAAGGATAATTTTAAAGTCACGACCCTGAAGCTTTAGAATGAAGGACTATTGTACATGAAGCTAATAATCCTAAGAAAGAAAGAAAGTTTGGTTTGGTGCTAAAATGTGTGTAATTCCAAAAACATAAAATTTAGATGTATGTCTCTGCTTCTTTACTACAATTTTAACAAAGGCTCTCCCATTCTCTTCCGAGCTTTATCATGATTTCCTTCACTGTGTGACATGGTACTGCTTTTCACATAGTCTGCTAAAGTGGAATTAGAGAGTATACAAAGAAGCAAGTGTGTCACAGACACAGGCAAGATGCTACCCTGTCAAGTGGCATTAAAGGAAAACAGCAAATACAACATGACACCCATCTTTCATATAATGAAGATATTGATGATGCTTGAAAGAGGAATATTTTTAGACATCTGTCACAGCCTTTTCCAAAGGAAACTGGTAACATGCAGTGAAATCTGTTATCACCACTGAATAGATTTCATTATGGCACGTCCAATTACAAAAGTACAATACAGAGGAAGAGGGAAATGCAGGGGGTGGAAGTGTGGGCTTTTTATCTTGCAGGAGAGAAGGATGTTTCATTCCAGTATCACAGCTTGTCCCCTGAACCACTGATTGCATGTGGCGTTGTGGCCCAGAGATTAACCTACCATTTCAACGGGGATGCACTGGCATATAATGCTATATTTTAATTGTAGTTTATATGATTATGTAAAATCTGAGCCAGAAGCTGTTCCTTCATTATTGTAGTTCTGATATGTTTGTTGTTTTTTCCCATGTTATCAAAGCACATTGCACAAGGACTCATCATCCTCTCTAAACCTTGACAGTGTGTCAAGGCCTTTAAGTCAGATTTAACTAGCATATATCGGTCAACCAATGGAGCAAGAGCCTGGACTAGTGTTTCCAGGCCGTGTCCCTAAATGTTGAATACCATGACAACAAACAGGAGCTGCACTCGTAAAAATAGCACAAAGTGAAGAGCAAGTACAGACAAGTATTACAACTTTAAGACACCATGGGTAATGAGAGTGGGAAGGGTGGGGCTAGGTGAGGAATACAGTTGGGTGTTACATTTTAAATAGCAGATTTATGGTGAGAAAACGCCAGTGCCGAGGAGATCGGAGCTAACCATCAGAATCCTTCTGCGTAGACCCTCCAGTGTGAGGCCATTTAAAGTATTGAACTTATCCCTTTATTTTGAAGATTATGTTATTTTCTGTCACTTTGTTATTTGGGCCACTGGCATTGTTTATTAATGCACAAAAAACACACATTTCCCCCACAATAATCGAAGAATACTTTTGCTGTTAGGAAAATAGAGAAGGCAAAAAAAAAAAAAAACAGTGTCAAAAATAGATAATGTGATCATTTTCTTGAAGGCTCAGATGATAAATGTCGTGGTGATTATGCAAGTGTGATTATCTTAGGTGTCAAGTGATGTGACTGAGGATACCTCATCTTTGTTGACATTTCAGTTTTGAAAAATTCTGATAATGAATTTGTTTTGAATTTGACAGAGCCTGTTATCTGTCAGTTCCTTTTTTCTCTGTTTGTGTTATGAAGCCATAGCTGAAAAATGTTTTTATAAGCTTGGTGCAACTTGTAAACAAATGAAAATATTGCAATTCAAGTAATAAGTTAAGTTCAGATTTAACTTATTTTCAAGCTAATTAAGAATGTGTGCCCTATCACTGTTTTAATGCCATATAAACTAACTGAGAAGCAATGTTACAACAGGAGGCGAGATCTGGTATCTACATTGATAACCTACAGGGTCAATCCACAGCCAGTAATAGGGCAGAAAGTGAAGCACTTTATGAAGATGCCAAAACAATGAGAGCGCATTGCAAGAATGTAATACCCCAACACATCGACATAGATATGCACTTCTACACACTGCATGACCTTTACAGAACTGCTCACAATTACCAAAGACAAAAATTTACCATTTCAATGGTCTAGAGTATTTCTTGTTATGAATATTTGTGTTTAGTATAACTATATTCACATTCATGGCACTGACTACTTGTAGGTATTCATTTACATGTAAATGAAAACACAGTGTGCATTCCAGTCCACATTTAAATAAGTATTGATGCACATATATTTATACATAATGATTGACACTGCAGGTGTGGCAAATATAATACAGGAAGCAATGAAACCTCACAAAGTGGGAATCACAAAGAAACCCTATCCCACAAGATTTATTAAATGATAATCATTGGTTGCTGAGCTGGTATTATTTTCCAAAGCACCCCGGATGTGTGTGTGCGTGTGTGTGTGTGTGTGTGTATGTGTGTGTGTGTGTGTGTGCATAAAAACAAGTTGAACAGAGTAGGAATTTATGCCTGCAAGGCTTTTAGATAATTGAATTGTTTTTATAACATCCTGTGAGGAGTTTCATTTCTAATGGAAAAAATAAAAATTCTTAAAGAATACAAAAATTTGCCTCAGATTTGACTTTGTCATCTTTCTCTGTGTTACAGTTTAGGGACTTTATAAACTGGAAAGACCCTGGCAATGGTGGTTCAGCTGCAGACCTGGAGTCCATCATCATGTAATTAAAATAGTATAACAATGAAGAACCTAATTATCAAAATTATTTGCAGATGATAGGAAATGAAGGAACAAACAAAAAAAGCTTCATAATAGTTTTGCGGACAATTTTTACAATGGAGGGAGGTTCTCACATAAAGGCAGACATAAGGGGGCCATGAAGGCATGAGATACAATGCAGGCACAGAATAACAAGCTCACTGAAATGTACTGATAATAAAATATTTGAATAGCAACTGTACACAGTTATGTGATCTGAACATATTCAATAAGAAATAAAATGATGGATACTACAATAAAATACAAAGACTCAACTTTAAATTGAGGAGTTACTATAATAAGAGCAATGGGGGATATCAAAACACAGTACCCAAAATTTAGTGGCTCAGAAACTGCCAGAAAGATAAAATGTTAAGATAATGACCATGAAAACAACCATCTATTGTAATTTATTTTAATACTCAAAAAAAAAAATCTTCTCACATTAGCTAAGCTAACCATGTGCTGGTTGTAGTTACATATTTATCACACAGATATATATATGAGGATGGCATCTTGATAAGAAAGTGAATACATATTTCCCAGAATGATCTACCTCTTTAACACCCTATAAATACAGTAGATGAACAATTTTACAAGTTGATGCCCCATTCAACTATTTCTTGCACTGTAACAAGAAAAAAAAGTTTCTAATATCACAATAATGTGCCAAAAGACAATAATGAAACTCAGTTACACCAAGTTCATTTTCATGTTATAATGACTGCTTTTAACATGGCTGTGAAGGAAATTTCTTGAATACATGACAACCCTCTAAAGCTAACAGCCAAAGGACCATTGAAGGACACTAATTTCATGAGTAACAGTCCAGCTTTGTGACTCCCA